ATTTGTCGTTCTTTGGAGTATCTGTGCAGTATTTGCTATGTTGGTATCTCTATCAAAATGATTGTTCCTGTTTTCACTGGCAATTAAAGGGAATTAAAAACTTTGTGCAATATAACCTTGAAGGAGATGAGAGAGAAAGCAAAGCAGGATTTTACTTGCAACTGAATAATTAGCAGCAGTTGCCTGCTTATCCTCATGGCTTTTCAGAGCTAGATGGAGGTCCTAAACTTCAGCTGCATTGTACTGCTCATCCTTGTGTCTGTGATTAACTTGCAGTGAGGTTTAAGAAGTTGCAAATCCTGAAATGAACCCCTCTGATGAACTGCCATCTCTTCCTTCCACCTACTCCCCAATTTTCATACTTCCTGCCTAAAATATTTCCTTCAAGCATTTGAAAATCAAATCTTTCTCTTTCCTATGTTTCAGTGGTGTGCCATAGTCTTGTGATGCTCTAAAATAGTAAGGATGTCTTTAGCAGTGCTCCAGGATGTTTGATGGAAATCAAGATGAATGGCAACCTTAAGCTGTGCAGCTGTGGCTTGTGAGCTTTGACTGATAGCAAGGGCCAGAAAGAAACATTTTAAAACGGCTATCATAAGCATTAGTCCTGTGCTAATGCTCTCTTTCTGCAGCTCTTCCTGATGCCAGTTTAGTGGAACAGAAGACAAGCATAAACGCCACATTCACAGCAAAGCGTATTGACTTCCTTGGTGACATTTGTCATGGATTGACCAGCAACAGTAAGGGCTCCAGAGTTCACCTGGAGCCCCTACAGCTCTTCATTTGCATGTCTCTGTATGTCTCTACATTAAAATTGCAATATTGTGGAAAAACCTTGAGTAATGTGTATACACTGTACGTGCAGCCTTTGTGCAATAAATACCAGATATCATTCAGAAACATGAATTAACTACAGTCATTAGTCTATAAGTAAGATAACACATAACTAATCCAGTCAAGTTGCCCTTCACTCATTCACAGCAGGCAGGGGATAAAACTTGCAGTAGGATCCTAGGAACCTGGGTTTTTGTGTGTGGGTATGTGGTACAGCTGCCTACCTGCAAGCGAATGCAGTATCAGGAGTGATTCTCTGGTTCACTCTGCTTGCCTTTTTAAAAAGAGACAAGGAACAGACATTCAAGCTGCAGAGTTGCCTGAGCAGCCTGACTCGTGCACTTGTCTGCCAGAGGTCAAGACAGAGAATAGACTGTCTGCTGCAAGGTCTTCAGAGCACCAGCTCTCCCACATCACAGCAGCAGCAGGAGAAAGGTGGCTCACTTGCTCTTCTACCAAGATCCATCCTATTTCAATACTTTACTCATTCTTTCTTTCGTTTTTTTTTTTTTTTAATTTCCCTTTTCTCCATAGCAGCTGGTTTTAGTGATGCTGCTTCTTCTCTGAAGCCGCAGCCAGTTTAGCCTGATCCAGTCCCACCTTCCCTTGTGCCCTGTGGCAAATTCTAGCACACTTGCCTTACTTTTGCACACGTTTGAAGCTGCAGCTGCCAGAAAACGGAATTTGAGCCACTTTACAGTCATGGAGTGAATACATGCGGGAAGGCAGAAGCAGCAGCTGTCTGCAGAAGGGAAAAGACATCTCTCGAGCCACCTGAGAAGTCACTTGGGTGCTCTGACTGCTGGTAGGCAGAGGTAGTCTGGTTTGCTTTATTACTAAATTTCGAGTCAGCATCCTTCTGTATCTAGCTCCGTTATTTCCCAGAAATGTGGCCTTCAAACAGTGCATCTCTTGCTGAGAGTAAGGGCCTCTTTTCCGAATCAGAATCCTGAAAAGTGAGGAAATCTCTCTGTTATTAATAGCAAGATCCTATGTCTTCATATAAAGCAGGCTTTCATATTGAGTTCTGTCTTTCTGAATGCTGTGAAAATTGTCAGGGAAAAAAAAAAAAAAAAAAAAAAGAAGCTTTACAAAAGCTCCTAATGGCTGTCTTGAATTTTAAATCATTCTAATTCAGTTGTCTTCTGTCACAGCTAGGTGTCCAAGCCTAGCTTGAAAATTTCATCTTGAATATTTCTGCATCCTGCAGTCTCGGAAGCTGCAGATGCTCCTCTCTCTGCTGGCTTCTCACAACGGTGGAGTGAAAATGTGTGGGCCAGGCCACCGGGAAGACAGAATTACAACTGCATATTTGTTCATGTGTTGACTAAACATTTCAGCAAAGCCTGCAACGAGTCATCACGTTAAAGGCTGGCATTTGTATCTCCTCCGGACTTCTTTTTTAAGAATAAGATAAAGAGTCGGACCCAATTGATCCAAGCATTTTAAAAATTACGTCTTTGGGAAGCATACCCACCCTGGTGGGTAGGCAGAAGGAATACTGCAGTTGCTGTCTGCAGAGCAGCGAGACAGACAGTCTCTCCTGGGGCTGCACAGGCGCTATGGAAAGCGGCTATGCGGCATCAGGCTCTGGAGCGTGTGCTGGGCTGCGGTGGCTGTGCATAGAGATGGTATCAGCCAGATCAGGGTGACTGCTTCAACTTCCCCGGTGGCTTGGGCTCTTAGATATGAGAAACATACCTAAGAGGATTCAGATGCATCCAATCTCTGTCCTTGTGCATGCCTTAATCTATCTGAATCTGCCTCATAATCCTTTTTTCAGGTTAAAAAGAAATATTTGTAAGTACATGTACACACTGGCATTTATCCAGGCTTATTTTAGGTGGATACTTGGCCACAAACATTATCAAAAACATTATCAAACATTATCAAAAATGGATTGGCTAGGTTCATCTGCAGGAAGTATCTATGTTTAAATTAGGAAAGGATTTTGCTTTTGCTGCTTTGCTTTCCTGCATATAAATTCTAAGAAGTCTTTCATTTTAGGGAAATAAAAATTGTTTTAGTGTTCTGTATACCTGAGAGGAACAAAGGGGTGTCCCTTCAGGAAAAGCTTACCTTCATGGCTCCTTTAAATATGTACCATTGAAAATGGAGCAGGTGAATGGCTATGATTTAAATGTTCAAGAACATTTAAATGTTTCAAGGCAAGTGAAAATGCATGTGGACGAGTCTGCAGCAACGTAACCTGCACCCTGTGGCCAGTTCAGAATAGAGATCACAGTGCTGCAGCCCCTATGCAAGCATGTCTGCACCCAGCCTTGTGGGTCCAGGTTCAGTCCAGGTTCAGTCTGCCAGCACCCCAAGGTGAATGAAAGCTGTTTGACTGGGCTGAGGCCAAGTGGGGCTCTGCTTCAGCAGACAGAAAATCCTGTCCAGATGACAGTTTGAACTGTGCCAGTTATGCCTTCTTTTATAAAAAAAAAAAGATCACCAAGACTATCCTTTACTTACTGTGCAAATGGAAAGTGTTTATTTTTGTCAAATCACCTTGCTTGCAAGACAACTAAAAGGCCATTGCAGAGAGGGATCTGCTAGCCTAAACACAGGCCATTTAAGACAGCCTGAGACATCTGTATGGGATTGGCAGATAGGAGATAGGACCTCTGGTGGCCCCATGCCTGAGGCAGCAGCTGGAGGCCAGCTGGGATTTCCTAGGACAGCTAAAATGGTACATGATATCTGCATTTAAGCAGCTGAATCCTGTCCTGTGGTGTCTGAGACTAACTGTGCTTGAAATCTGGAAGGATTAGTTTAGCAGTCACCATACAGGCATATGCTCTTAGCTATCCTCACAGTCTGTGGAGGGCTCTGTAAAGGGATAGAGCTGTCTCTGTACGCTGGGCTTATCTTCCACCAGGCCCTGCACAGGCAATTTGTATTTCTTTTCAAGCCAGACAGTAATTACTTATTTTTCCTAGCCTAGAGAACAGAATGTCATTTCAATCTCTGCCAGAGAGTGCTGATGGTAAACTTCTCATATCTCTTCCTTTTCATGTCCAGGCATTCCTGATGATAGAAACACTACACATTCTTGTAAGATTTGCAGTACTTATAAATCCATAGATGAGAATTTTTTTATGTTACTGGAAAGATTTCTCCCTTGGTATCTGAGGTGATATTGTTTTGTGTTGAATCATATGGCAAAGGAGGACCCAGAAGGATCACTGGATTTAGGATGTTCTTAGGAATGAAGTTGTGTGGAAGGACAGTGGGAAAAGAAGTGAAGATCAGTTCATTGGTACTTAAGAGAAATTGCAGGAGATCATCAGGAGGATAGCAGCAATATGAAGCTGGTGATTCTGTCTACTCTCACAAAAGTAAAGTAAATCAAAGCTGTACAAAATCTCTGGCCCTTAGTAATGAAAAAAGTCCCCAGTGATACTTTTTGATTAAGTAAGCAAACCCTAAAATCCTGCTTTCCTGACCCAAATGGCCTTATACTTAAATAAGATAATAAGGTAAACATGAAAAATCAGGTATATGTCTATGTTCTCACATATATAGCTCATATACTGATAATAACTCCAGCCACATGGCTTTTACAAGTTTCAGTAGAACTAAAAGCTGAGTGTTTGCTCTTGGCCAACACTATCAGTAAAGCAAGGAACAAAAGCAGGTTCATTTCACTCATTTTAGCACTACTGCTTATCTCAAAAATGTCTCCTGAACTTAAAATAGTGAAAGCTTGTGGAACTGATGCTACCACTGAGACCATAATGGTCTTTAAATGCACTTTCTGTCTGAAAGATATGCTTGATACTGGCAGAGGAAGATACTGGCAGAGGAAGAAAATGCATGTGCCTGTATATGTTTTAGGTTAGACTCCAAAAAATACAACTTATTATCCCTACTTAATTTTTTTTTCTGCAGAAATAAGAAGCAATGTTGGAACTGCACTCTGAACTACAAAAAGAAATGGCAGGCTGCTATTGATTCAACACACTTGCAATCTCATTAGTTATCAAATGGAACTTGAGTACTGCCAACAAATAAGCAATATATATTTTTTTTATTCTGTTGTTAAACTGCCCAAAGTCACTAAATACAGATTAGTCTGGAGTGCATTTGTTGTTCCAGCTAGATATGGTATAAAATACAAATCAGTTTTAGATACACAGATTTTTTCCCTCTTCTCCCTTTAGGCTACTGAAAAATGCCCAGAATGAAGCTCATTTCAAAACCTGGTATCGGAAACTACTGGCTGCTCTCCAATTCTGTGCTGGAGAAACCCTGAACAATGAGTTTGCTAAGGAGAGAAAACTTATCAGAGTTCTGGAAGACATTGCCGAAAAAGTAAAAGCTGCTAGTGACCCCAAAAGAAAGGTTTGTTAAAAAAAAATGCACTTTTAATAACTCATTTTCTATCTCTATTTGTTCAATTTTAATTTTTCCAAGGTAACACATCTTCACTATAATGCCCTTTGCATAGATAAAGCTAGGATCTAACTACTGCTTTTAAATTTTAGTGCTATTCTGCAAACATGTAAAACATATGGTATGAAAGAGCCAAGTCTTAACAACTATAGCCTTTGAGGCCAACATGTTTTTTAACCCATTTGAATTCTTTCATCTGTGGTTTCTCACTCAGATCTCAAGATGGTCAGAAATAGTGGCTACAGAACTTGTTGACATTTTACTGAAGAGAATGTGAAGTGAATGCTTTCATGCAAAGCCCCACTGCAAAATATCTGATGCCTTGTAGAGGTGCAGTAGTTCTTGAAAGCATGGAAGAAGGCTAAGAGTTTTGATTGACGCACTGTATATCCTCTCTTCCCAACAGAGGCAGCTGAAGTTGACTGTACATAGTATCTCAAATTTAACATTCAGCAACTAAAATACTGTATACCTGTCTGCAGAGATGCATTCCTGGAAGTAGAAGGATTTTAGCCTTCCTCTCCAATGGATGTGGTTTTTACATAGCATGGAGAGATTTCAAATTCCAACCCATGAAGTTTGCAAGACAACTGTTCTTGCTACTTACTTGATGTGTAAAACTGTTTCCTGCTGAGATCTCAGTTGGGCAGACCAGGAAGCCAAATAAAAATGAGACCCATCACTTCTGGCTGCTAGGAAGTTACCATGAATTGGTTTTGTCTAGTTAAGTATTCAAAGGTTTTCAGAAGACGTTTCAGAAAACTTTCAGTATTGCTATAGAGAGCATCAAAACAAATATGGAATTAAACAGACACAAAAAAAATTAGCCAAGGGTAAGATCCATCCTAAGAAATGGAAGTAGTGCCACATTATGCCTCACTCATGCATAATTCAGTCTTTAGAGACTAATCTCAAGGCTATATTTACTGTGATCATGAGAAACTCCCAGACCTTGCTGTTAACAGATCTACAGTTGGGTGAGGGGGAGAGCAATGCTGAGGCAACAAACCACAAATTATAAAGTTGTTGAGAAAGGCAAAAAAGTCATGAGACACAGCAGAGCAGGTGCAATAATAATAAGCCCCTAATGAAGAGCATCAAATCTGAACCTACATGGCAGCATGAACTGGTGGAGCAACTAGGCAGCAAAAGGATTAATGTGAAGCAAAATCACAGTTCTTATTTGTTATATCTGTTCCTCAGCGTGACCTAATTAGCTGTTATAAGGTTACATGGATGCTACGATCTCCAGATATTATATTGTTTGATTAAAATATGGGTAGATAGTGAACAGCTTAACAGCTACTGCTATGTTCTTTCCCATTGCCTTAATGATTAATGTGTTGCAGGAGGTGCTAAAGATGGAACTCAGCAAACTTCAGCAATTCTTCCAGGAGGTAAAAGTTTGTCGACTTCCCCTGAATCCTGCTCTTGTTGTGCAAGGCATAGAGGCAGATGTAAGTCTACCTTATGCAGTGTGTTACATTATATTTAGTATAAAAAGGAAAAGGGAATTAATGGCTGTGTGGACTGGGGTCTAATCCTGCAGTTCTCATTTTTGGGCATTTCCCTACAGATTGATGTTGTGTGAGTCATCTGCTAAACTGATACTCGGCTTTTCTGCCTGAAGCTGAAGACTTTCATTGGTGAGGGGGGCTGCTAGGGTGAGGGCAGCAGGCACATCCTGCCTTAGCCTGCAGCCCCTAGCCCTACTCTGCCTTTGGTGTGGGCAAGGGCACCTGGCTCCTGCAGATGAGGTCTGGTTGCAAGTCCCTATTTTTCTCATCCTGGAGCCTCCTCTGTGAAGAGTGGGAGAAGCTAAAGATCTGGAGCTCACTCTTTTCCTTTTGAAGTGACAGGCACATGACCAAGAATTGCCATAATGTTAAATACTCGCAGTAAAAGTCACATGTGTTTACAACCCTTATTAAAAATTGACTAAAGGAAATATCAATGCTATTTAATGTTACTTGACTACAGTACTAAGACTCAGTTATTCATTGTTTAGAAATGTTTTCATAAACAATATAATGCCAGAGATAAGCTGCTTCAGTTCTAGAGGGAAAAAAAAAAGGTATCTAGCAGAAAGAAAGAAAGAAAGAAAGAAAGAAAGAAAGAAAGAAAGAAAGAAAGAAAGAAAGAAAGAAAGAAAGAAAGAAAGAAAGAAAGAAAGAAAGANAAAGAAAGAAAGAAAGAAAGAAAGAAAGAAAGAAAGAAAGAAAGAAAGAAAGAAAGAAAGAAAGAAAGAAAGAAAGAAAGAAAGAAAGAAAGAAAAGCCTGGAGACCTGTGCATATTATCAGGTTTAGCTATTTAATTACAGCAATTTGCGCTATAATTTTGCTCACTGGCTCATTATCCTTAGCGGACCTGATTCTAAGAGGTACTGATCCCCTCAGCATTGTTTGACCCGTGATTCTCCAAATAATTACTCTTCAGCCTTGATGTGTCTGAGAACAGAGGTCTTTCAGCACCCCACAGGTTTGGGCCAATTGTGGATGACATAAGTCATAAGAAATTGAAGCCTGCTGCTTCTCACTGCTTTTAGGCTTTTTGGAAATAATGACTAATGGGAAGGTATCTCACTGTATACGGTCATGCTATTTATGCAGCACCAGCTTGACTGCACTGATACAAAATTTTTTAGTATAAGTAACTGAAGAGAGATTTTTTCTTTCATTTTTCTTATATGATTATACATTATTATCATGCTATAAATATATGCAGCTTCTTGACTGAACTGTATGTCAGTATAATCATGCAAATTACCATTTTGAAGTGCTTGTAATAACCTAAATTTAATTTATTTCAGTAGCACTATGGAGGCTGCTAGTAGTGACTGATCCCAGCCCTATCACTAATACAATGTCTTGTAGTACCCTTTCAAACACTTAGTCAAGCATTCACATGGCAAAATTCCACAGGGGTCAGCATTTCATCATCAGTAATAGCCATTGCATATTACAGAGGTATGGTGTGACTGAGACAATATTTGAATGCTTGTACCGTACTTTGAGATATTTAAATGAAAAGCAAGAGACAGATGTTGCTTTTTTGCTGTCTAGTTGCTTTTTTTTTTAAGTTGTTGCAGTCAGTAATGGTAGCAGTAGCTGCTGTGGGGTTCTCATTATTTTGGGAAACTTGGCTATTCATTTACCATTGTTTTTGTTTCCTTTTTTTTTCCCACTTTTATAATGATGATGATAATACTAATGTTACACACACAGGACTTGCAATGCTTAGCTCATTAATGCTTTATAAGCTGCCAATGTCTTCATGTGGAAGGAGCTATATGGTATAGTGTCAGGGTTTAGGTTCAATTAAGATAAATTGCACATAACATAGATAGCGATATTCAGTATTTCATGCATTCTCAGTTTAAGTGACCACTGAAATTAGAAAGTTGTTTTCTTCCACAAGTATTTTAGAATCAGACAATTATTTTGCTGGAAAAAAAAAATAGGATGAAAGACTTTTCAATGCTTTGCAGATTCTCATTAGATCAGTCTTAGATATTTTTGTCCACCCAATACCCTGGTTCCAGGCAAAGTTTAGCATTAATAGGCCTGAGTAAAAATGAAAAACAATTAGGGAAAATATCCATTCATTTAATCTGATTATTGATTGAGGCATATTGTCAAGGGAAAAAGAGTTTTTCATTCGCTTGATGTCTCTGAACAGTGAATAATATCAAGATTTATTTAGTTTTATTATCGGTGCTACTGAGCCGTACTTAAAGATGAGGAATGTTCTACTGTATTAGTCTGATGTTTTGTGTATATGACGCTTTTCTTTTTCTCTCTTGCTTTTTTTTAACCTGAAGTCATGTTCATATTTTACATCCAATGCTCTCCCACTAAAAATCTCCTTCATCAATGCTAATGTTCCAAGCGGAAACATCGATATTATTTTTAAGGTAAGTTACTCCTTTAATTTACAGTTCATTTTATATACAAGAAGTTGATTTGAAAGTTATCTGAGCTAGATTTCAGCCCTTGTGCTTGAGAATGACTGACTCCAGTAGCCTTGCCCATGTGTTTCCAACAAGTCAAAGTGTTCATGATCACATATACTTGAAAGAACCTAACTCCACCTGCAGAGCTTGCAGAGGAGTTTTACCCCTCTTCTCAGCTCTGTTCAATTAGTTGGAGGAAGTGACTCAGGGTTCTCTGGTTCATTTTCCACTTTTCACCTTCAAAGCTTCAGAGTTCAAGTGCTGCATCCATGTACAAAATACAGTGCATTTAATCTAAATCTGCCCTCATTCAAAAGAAGAGATTCAAAAGCCCTCCAGAAAAGTGAATACTCCTTGTAAATGAAGAGCCTTATAAAAAATGGGTTATGGATCCAAAATGGCCAGTGTTGCCAGGTAAAGACATATTTTCCTACTTCTGATGTGTCCAAACCAGGAGCTAAAAATGCATTAAAAAAAAAAAAAAAATCTAGCCCACGCTGAATGAAATTCACCCTTAGAGCAGCTGTGATTCTCAGGAACAGAAGTATCCTCTCAGGTATGTGAGGGGAATGCTCACATATTGAGACTTTTTTTTGGAACATTTAGAAGGATATTTCTTAAATCATGTCACCTGGGAATCCATAAGTTAAGTAGGGAGGTTCCTACATATTTTAGCAAATGCATGACCATGGAACATTTAAACTAGCAATAGCTCTATTTTTCCCTTGCCCAGTACTGTTCAAGAACAGCCAACTATATGATAGGTGCAGGACTTGTACAGAGCTGCCATCACCTTCTGCTATGAGCAAGTCCTTGTATTAAGACTAAGGCATTTGTTACTTGTATTCAAATGTATGTGTGACTGATAAAGTGTATGCAAAATGATAAGCACTGATATTATATGCAGTTTTTGACTAACTAACTGTATATGTGAGGGAAGTTGTTTTGTGGAGGTAAGTAAATTCTTTTATCAGACTAGGTAGTGAGAAGAATTAATACTCAAAAATAGTTCTAAATGAAAAAGAAGGAGTTTGAATTTTATTTCTTTAAGTAAGTGATGAGTACTCATTTTATAGTAATGAATGCCTGTAGCCTGAAATACTTATGTAAGATATAATAAAAAAAAAACAAAGCAGTTTAACTAAAAGATAGAAATTAATGAAGGACTTTCTGAAAGAAAGCTTAAAAACACCATCAAAAGCCACATGTATTTTAGACAGAAGGGGGCCGGGGAGGAGAACAAAAAGCAGGATTTTTGGTTTCACAGGCCATTTACCCTGTCATGGTTAAAGATAATCTCTTCATTACATCTTGTGGCTACAATTAAAGCCTGATTTCACTCAGATTGTTGTTTAACTGACTCCGTAGGGAGAGTGGTCAGCACTGCATGACTGTTGGAAGCTGAATATGAATCATGTCATGGCTAAAATTTAAATTCATGATAAGATTTCCGTTTCAGCTTGCTGCAAATACAAAATTTTGAAGGTTAATGTTAGGCAAAATGCTATCTCTTTAAAATGCAACCAAATGCACTTTAAAATGTAAATAAATTAGGATCCTACCTCTGGATTAAATTTTCAAACTCTAATAATTGCACTGGAATAATAAGCAGAAAGGCTGCATTTAATCAGAAATTGTTACCATTTCTGTGGTAGTCAAAATTCTTGCTGCCTCTGTGTGCCATCCATTCTGTCCTCTTCATAACAGAGAAAGATAAGTAGCAACTCTGAAGAAAAACAGAAGGGATTTACTGTAAAGCCAATGTAGCTATTTTGGTGTGGGAAAAAATCCAAAAGAAATAGGAAGTTATCTCTGTGCAGGATTCAAGGAGAAACTTGGATTTCTTTTGCAATTTTCACAGATGGGGGATGATCTACGTCAGGATATGCTCGTTCTGCAGATTATTCGTGTCATGGACAGCATTTGGCTCCAAGAGGGACTGGATATGCAAATGATCGTATATAGATGTTTATCTACAGGAAAAGGCCAAGGTCAGTGTAGATTAAAAAGGTCCATTTCTCATGTAAGTAGTGGTATGCAATATTCTTCTCTTCAGCCTTTGTCTTTATGGGTGTCTAATTTATCTTCTCTCTTAAAGTGTAAAGAAATCTCAGAATTTCAGTTCTGAATTTTACATTCACATGAAAGTTCATTTTATTCACTCATTTTTCCTGTCCAGAAGAAGTACAAGCAAACTCACTGAATTTTATAGCACCTGAGAGTAGGATTTTCCAAAACTCTCAACCTCTTTAACTGGCATCAAATTTTTAAAAATAGCATCACATATCAAAAGAAGAGCTTTGGAGTAAAGTGTTCATAGCTCCTAAAGTTTGTGATCCACAATGATTCCACTTAGATGTTTAACTGAATCTGGATAGATGTGACTACAGAAAATATATGTAGACAAGTAATAACAACCTTGCAGTCTTGATTTTGAAATGTTACTCTTGTGAGTAATGCTGCTAAGGGCAGGCCTGACTCATCTGAAAGCTTTATTTCTGTGTTGTATTGTTGTTATAACAAAGCTATAGCAGGGATGCCAATTGCTTGCTGAAGAAATTTACTGACAGCAATAAGCTCACCTTTTTTTCCTTTTACTGACTCTCCGAATCTTTTACTAAAAATAATCCTAGCACCGACTGAAGCCTGATGTATCCAGATTACCTGTCGTACAAAAAAAAAAAAAAATCTTTTGCTTTCTGAGATACAAAGCAGAGAAATTGAGAGAAAATGAGATCAAGAGGAGGTAGGAGGAAGAATAAATGGCAGTACATGACAGTAGTTAATGCGACCTGAAAAAGACTCCTCCCTTGTTTGTAGAGATGGGAGTCAAAGCCTGAGGGGGTCTGCTTCAAATGCAAATAACAGAAGAATATTATTTCTGAAAATAGTATTATAGTCTCTCTGATATACTAAAATTCCATTTTACTAAGATGGGGGAACATCTGGAAATAATATTCTTCAACTGACAATCTGTTGCTTTCCATGCCTTAATAGCAGAGCAATGTTTTTCTTCTGACAGGTTTTTTTCCTCACAGTGTCTTTCTATATGTGTGAAAGTAATTCTGGTATTTTGGGTTTGCATCTAGTGATTAAAGGTAAAATGGTTAAGAAGTGATGTGCCTGTAGTCATACAGGACAGTTGTGCTCAGGTAGACTCATATACCCAGGTCTTTCAAGTCTTGGGCCCATGATTTGCTCCATGAGCAACCTTTTCCATGCAGCTCTAGGGTGGGAGGGGGCAGTCAGGTACTCCTGTGAGCATGGGAATCACTTGAAAGAATCAAGCAGATCAGAAATGTGGAAAGCAGATGAGGGGCACTGGTAGGGTGTTGCTCTTCCAGGCATAGTATTATCATGGGACCAGTTGAAATTGCTAGAGAGGACCTTTCCCGTAATGCAGAAATGCAGCATGATATACTGGGGGTTATGCACAGCATGGACAGTGATGGAAGGCTGGGAAGATGGGTTTCTGTTCCAAAATTGGGAAATTAACTATGTGTATTAGAGGCATAGAATTCAAGTGAAGCCTTGAAAAATGCAGGATTCTGCCTGCATTTTGAGGGCCCAGTATATGTCATCTCGGATCAGACTAATTTCCTAGTATTTTTTTCCCAACTTTGATCAGCATCATACACTATTTAAAAAAAAAAAAAAAAAAGCATTCTTGACAACAAACACATATGAAATAATTTTATATTTAATAGTAAAGATATGATTTTGCTTTTAATATATTTTTATTGTTTGAATTTGTGTTCTAACCATATTGAATCTTATTAAGTCATTGACCTTGGTGGTACCTTGATGGAGTTATGCCCACAGTATGGTTACATTTTTATTTATCACTCATGGAATTGCCACTTCTAAATTTGATTATGTCCTTTGTTTTTTTTTTTTTTTTGTTTTGTTTTGTTTTCCAAGAAAACGAAAAAAAAATCTTATTTATCTTCCCTATTGAATTTATTACCTTTTAGGCTTCTAAGCATTTTTTTCTACATGGAATGATCCAACTGTATATGGCAAGCACTGACGCTCATCGTATCTTTTTGAAGTTGCAGGCTTTTTATGTGAGCTCTTTTCTGTCTGATTAGGATTGGTACAGATGGTGCCAGATGCTACCACACTAGCCAAGATCCACAGGAAGTCTGGATTGATTGGACCACTGAAAGAAAACACAATTAAAAAATGGTTCTGTCATCACCATCCTTTGGAATCAAGTTACCAGGAGGTAACAATATAATGAACTGTATTATACATTCCATGTTTTACCACAAGGAAAAAGAAACCTAATGACAATAAGCAGCAAAATATAGTGATTTGGACTCAGGACAGCCACGTGCATCTAAGCTAGGGAATTGCCTTAAATGTTACCCTGCTTTTACGGAGATACTATGCTGGATCAGGTGCATTTTAGTACATTTTCTGTAACGATGTGTCATAGAGATGTTTTGAAAGATGGTGAAGTAAAAAGTAGCTGGAGTAAAAGGTACATATTGAATCCAAATGCATTTAATGTTTTTGTCTAGTTGGCTAAAACCTTTCTTATATATATAGTTCATGCAAAGTCTCAATGGCTTTCCTGTATTTGGAAATGCTTGTATTGATATCCAGTTTTAGAAGCTATATTTTATTGAAACTACCTATTCGTGTGATATGGTATGCTTGTTGCATCACATATGGGATCCCATGTAAAGTAGCTGGTTTTTTGCAACCTCACATTACACATATATCAAGAAATTGAGAGGTTTTATCTGCAAAATCAGAGAGTTTCCTTTGAAAGGAACCACTTCCATTCATTATCTTGCTCATTTGATTGAGCAAGTCCATGCAAAACCTTAATGGTTATGTCAAGAGGTCAATTTTTGAACCCTTTTCTGTCTCCACAGTATGTTACCAGCTAGAATTTTAAATAAATCATAAAGGGGAGTTTTGAATATTTACCACCCTGGAAAAAATAGGTGCTTTTGTCAGTATTGATTATCAGAGAGATAACTCTATAGCATAATAGAATCCACAAATCCATGGGCCCTGATGGGATGCACCCCAGAGTGTTGCGGGAACTGGCAAATGTCCTAGCCGAGCCGCTCGCCATCATCTTTCGAAGGTCCTGGAGAACGGRKGAGGTGYYGGARGACTGGAAGAAAGCCAACATCACTCCGGTCTTCAAAAAAGGCAAGAAGGAGGACCCGAGTAACTACAGGCCGGTGAGCCTCACCTCCATCCCCGGGAAAGTGATGGAGCAGCTCATCCTGTCTGCTCTCTCCAGACACATGGAGSAGAARAAGGTGCTCAGGAGTAGCCAGCATGGATTCACCAGGGGGAAATCGTGCTTGACTAACCTGATCACCTTCTATGAAGGAATATCTAGCTGGATAGATGAGGGCAGAGTGGTAGATGTGGTCTATCTGGACTTCAGCAAGGCTTTTGACACTGTCCCTCACAGCATCCTCCTGGGCAAGCTCTGAAGGTGTGGGATAGATGAGTGGTCGGGGAGGTGGATTAGGAATTGGCTCGATGGCAGGGTGCAGAGAGTGGTTGTCAATGGTGCGGAGTCCAGCTGGAGGCCTGTACTTAGTGGTGTCCCCCAGGGGTCAGTTCTTGGTCCGGTCCTGTTCAACTTATTCATTAACGACCTGGATGAAGGGCTGGAGTGCTCCCTCAGCAAGTTTGCTGATGATACCAAACTGGGTGGAGTAGCTGATAGCCCTGAGGGCTGTGCTGCCATCCAGAGGGACCTGGACAGACTGGAGGACTGGGCGGCGAGAAACCTCATGAGGATCAACAAGGGCAAGTGCAGGGTCCTGCACTTGGGGAGGAATAACCCTGGACACCAGTACAGATTAGGGGTGGACCTGCTGGAGAGCAGTCCCGCAGAGAGGGACCTGGGTGTCATGGTGGACGACAAGTTGACCATGAGGCAGCAGTGTGCCCTGGTGGCCAAGAAGGCCAACAGGATCCTGGGGTGCATTAAGAAAAGCGTCTCCAGCAGGTCGAGGGAAGTGATCATCCCCCTCTACTCAGCCCTGGTGAGGCCACATCTGGAGTACTGTGTCCAGTTCTGAGCTCCCCAGTACAAGAGGGATGTGGAGCTGCTGGAGAGAGTCCAGCACAGGGCTCCCAGGATGATCAGAGGCCTGGAACATCTGCCATATGAGCAAAGGCTGAGAGAGCTGGGCCTGTTCAGCCTGGAGAAGAGGAGGCTGAGGGGGGACCTGATCAGCGTATATAAATACCTCAAGGGAGGCAGTGAGGAGGAGGGGGGTGGCCTCTTTTCAGTGGTGGGCAGGGATAGGACTAGAGGAAATGGCTTCAAACTGAAGCATCGGAAGTTCCACAGGAACTTAAGGAAGCATTTCTTCACTGTGAGGGTGACAAAGCACTGGAACAAGCTGCCCAGAGAGGTTGTGGAGTCTCCTTCTTTGGAGATCTTTAAAACCCGCTTGGATGCAGCCCTGTGCCACGTGCTCTAGGTGACCCTGCGTGAGCAGGGGGGTTGGACTTGATGACCTCTGAGGTCCCTTCCAACCTTGGGCATTCTATGATTCTATGATTCTATGAATTATGTTTAACGAACTTTAATGTCACTATTGTTATTCTGTGAGTGCTTGTTGATCCACATTTTCAGTATGACCACTCAGATTTCTAATGTATGATCTTGATTCAAAGACACTTTGAATATAAAATTCTGTTTTACAAATTTATATATTTACAGTATTAATTATAAGAATGAAGGCAACAGTATTATGGTAAAAATAGAGCCAACATTTCAGTTGAATAGATAGCTATAAATTATTGACTGAAAACATGATCTTCTTGCTGCTTACTGTTTGTAAGAAGTAACATATATGTCGAATGTTATAAAATGAATTGCTACTCATTATCTCTCTCTTTTTTAAATATAAAACACAATCAGCCCCATTCACTGCTGAATTAACCTATTTCTTTAACTCTCTAATAACTTTTTACTCAGATAATACTGTATCTGATATATCTGTAGAACTGCAGGTTCTCAAAATCTCATGCAGAATAAGTTCTAATATCCTTATTTTACAGTTGGATGAACAAAATCATGGAAAGATTAATGCTTTATCCAAGGTCATCTAGTGTGTAAGCAGTTCAGTTAGGCTCTTGTGCTATAGGCTAAGTACTCCATTAATTCTGTCATCACTATCAACAGTTGCATGTAGCACCCTGCAACTTCAGGGAAAACCAAACTACCTAAATAGTTATTTAACTTAATTAATGTAGGTTTTGTCCAAAACCAAAATAATTGAAAATTAGGCCTGTTTTGGTTTCTATATAAATGAATCACTTTGTGATTGAGATTTATGGAAGATTCAGACTTTTGAATAAGAATTGTATTTATGACTTAAACTGTAGCAGCAAAGAATTAAAAAAAAAAAAAAAAAAAAAAAAAGCAACAGTTGTAATTCCTTATGTTTTGGAGTACAAGACTCATCATTATTTGGATCAATAATAATTCTCTTCTATGAGAGGATACTGAAAATGAGAGGATGTTGCAAAAGACATTGGGTAGATTCCTCTCTTATGAGACCTTGCAGTTCTTAAATGCTTCCTCCTGAAGTCAGCAAAACATTTGGACTCAGCCTGTGAGGAAATATCTAATGAAAAGATCATTAGCTTACAATTTTTCCTACATACACCATGGGCTCGTTATTGTGCAAGAGTGTTGTGGTCCGTAAATAGATTCCTGAAATAGATCTGAACAAGCCAGCCTAGGCACAAGAAGCAGACTTGATGTGGAAATACATATCCACCCCATGTTAAATAGTATAGCAGAAGAGCAGGTTATATTAGACCAGATAGAAAGCTATGGTACAGCTAGACTGTTTTTGGATTACTCGCTCTCTTGGATCTCTCTGCATAACATTAGGTTTGATCCCATACTCAGATTCGTGCATATTTTGATCAAAAAATGATTTAATCTTTCTTAGTTTGTGTTCATTTCTGTAAAATCGACTTGAATTCTTTGGGCTGGCTTATTGTAGGGCTTCATTATTTGGAATTTGGAAAAGGCAATTGAGTTCTGAAGAAAAAGAGACCCGTGTTGGTTCAGAAGAACTATGGAAAATATCTGGCTTTCACTGCAATGCAAATGATAGAATTAATTGATTTCCATCTCTTCTGATTTTTGGACCTGGGCACTGTTTTTTACAATATAAATGCATACAAAGCAAATAATGAAAACATCAGTTTCCGGACAAGGAGCTTGTTTTGTTTAGGTACCTTTCACCTTAGACATTGTTCACAGGACTCTGTGTAGAAACCACAAGTTGAAAACACCATGAATAAAACCGTAGCTGCATCAAACCTTTGAATTTGTTTATTACTTGTCTGAATATAAAACATATGACACTTATATCCATAAATTTTAGCTATGTGCATAGTCATTGTAGGATTCACAGCTTAGGGTTTTCTTCTTAGTATCACAAAGTGTATTGCTTTGTATTTCCACTAAATGTTTTCTATTTACTAACCAGGCAATAAGGAATTTCTTCTATTCCTGTGCTGGCTGGTGTGTTGTTACCTTCATCCTGGGAGTCTGTGATCGACACAATGACAACATAATGCTGACAAGTGCTGGACATATGTTCCATATAGATTTTGGAAGATTTTTAGGTCACGCACAGACATTTGGAAGCATAAGAAGGTTGGTATCTATAGTAACACATATCATAAGCTTTAAACATTGTTCTGAAAATTTCACAGCCTTATCAACACCCATGAAAAATATAAATGAGATCAAGCATTTTTTTCTTCCAGAACTTCCCTTCAAAGAATATAGGAATGACTGGAAGAGAAATTAAAATGAGGTATTGGATATCCCCATTTCAGTCTAAGAAAATCTGAGTTCTTTTTAGGTCAGCAGTTTGAAGTAGATTCAGTTCTGTAGTGACCAGAATTAGTAAGGGTTGGCCTGTGCCAAAAGAATTCTCATGTCTTTCTCAGATGCAAGTTGCAAAAACATTGCTGCAGCTAATTAATGACTTTGTTGCCATCTTCAGAGACCACATTTTGCAAATAGACCAATAGTACTCTCCCTCATTGGTGAAATTGCAACCTCTTTATGATTTTTCAAGTTTTACATACATCCACAGTGAGGTCAGCATTTATTTTGTAAATACGTGGTTTTGCTTAAGCAAGACTATGCCTTTTCCGTAACATCGTTATCCCATGATATAGATAGGTAAAATGCTGAGAATAACCACATATTCTCGTTCATATTGTGAGCATTTTATCAAGGAATGAATTAGAATAGAGTTGATATAGCTAGGGTCATGTCAGTACACACAAAACACGAGGAAAATGTTAAGAGTGGTGCAGACAACAAATAAGTAATTCCAAGTACTGACAAAATGAGTGGTGTGGGTTTTTCCTCCATGTTTCCTAATAATTTCCAAAATTAGTCCCAGAATGAATCAGTTTAAATTAATCATGCCTTTTTTTTTCCTTTTTTTTTAAGCTAGTCTTTGACTATTTTAGACAATCTTAGTGTTAGACAGAAATAACAGTGTGGGGGTATTGATAGGAGAGAAGCTGATGGGGCTAATAAGCAGTTCTAAGCCAGGCAGTCAAAAGATCTAGTTGCAGTGCTCAGAATTATTGTCAATCATTCAGGATATTCTCCCTTAATCCTACTTATTTGCCGTGGACGGAATAATGCAGAACAGAGTCATAAAAAGATACTCCTGCTCACATTAAATCGAATGATGCCTCCCATCAGCAAAGCTCCTTCTAGTCTCTTAACTAGAATTTTCTTGAGCAGGAATTTTGTGTGAGGGGAGAATTATCTAGTGGGAGTGCAAGATATGACCAGCTGAATATAGTGGGAGGCACAGCATCCAAACTTAAACAGAAATTATGTAGGAGAACTAATAACAGCCTCTAATTTTACTGTATTATAATTCAGTGATACTACATCTTCTTATTAATTCTATGAAAATGACTTGGAGGACACAGGCCTTTCCATAAACACAGGCATTTTTTTCATGATTCTCTATGCAGTATATTGCTTTACTTTAACAGCAAAATACAATGATAATATATTTTAGGCACTTCACTTAGCTCCCTTATACTTCTATAAAGTTCCATAGCCAAACTAGGACTCACACTTTCTGTAGATTGTAAACATCAAAGGACATTAGTTGATTTCCCCATACCTACATGTGACTGAGCAGCTACAAGATAAGGGACTGTACTTCTTAAAAGCTGTATGCGTCTTCAAGAAATGCAACACTATTTGTACCATAGAAATGTAGGGATATTGCGTTTCTACTTACTTACAACAAATTTCAGGCTCTCAAAATCTGAAATTCTCAGTGCTATTGGTGTCCACTCTTAGCAAATCCTTCATACATTTTTAGCCTCTGTTTTTTAACAGCTCCTTATAGTAGATTTTTATTTGAGTTCTCTACACTCCTGCAGAATGCTTTCAGAACCTTAGAATTATATGCACTGACCCTTGAGGGATTTTATAGTAGACACTGAATACATCCTTGTGAAGTTCTATAGTTAGTTTGTAAAATTAATATAGCATCCGATAGAAATCTCCATACATATAACCGATCTTTACACACATCATAAAGCAGCTATTTAATTCTTTTTTTAGGCAAGCAACTCAGATGAATTAATGAAAAAGAGTCCTCACTTGTAGTGTTTATAATGGCCATAGCTTTCCCAAGTTCAGTTTCTCCTGACAGAGCTGTCCTTTTTCTTTTCTCAGTGCGTGCTTTTTGCTAATAACAAACTCTTATTCCCTATGCAGCTTCATAAGGATGGGCACTTCCCAATACTCCATATAGGGAGCTATTTCTTTCTCATTTAGGTAAGGGAAAAGATACCCAGCAGCTTTGAGGAAAACACATTGTCATGCCTGGAATGTACTTCTTTCTACAGAATAGTCTGAAAAGAAAGGAGCCCTTTGAAGCTGATATAATTCAGGCAGACACACAAATTTCTGCGTTCATGACGGTATAATATGCTGATAAGACATTAGTTAACTCATTAGTTACCTACCCTCTTCTTTAAACAGTGTCCAGCAAATCTATTCAGTTTTGATCCCAAGGTGGAAACAGTAGCTCAGCTCTTACTGATTGGAGAGGGATGAGACATCAGTAATTTCCTGTCTTTTTCAGTGCCATGTACCTTCACAGTGCACTGAATATGTTAAGAAGTGGTAGTAATAATCTTTACACTGGTCGAGGAGCTGGGTCGAGAACCATTTTGAGGAGAAATGTTCAAAGGAAACATATGATTTATCTAGTGAATGCTGTAATAACAGTGTTTGGGAGGAAAATTATTTCTGAAGTCTCACAGGGAACTTTTCTACTGAAGAGTGAGATTTCCTTATCTTTTTTTTCTCTTATTAGCTCTGTTTTGTTAGTGGTGATAAAATTATACTTCTTCCATTCGATAAGCCATCCACAGCATTTGACCCCAAATTCGCCTAAAGCAGTGATTTCCAGAAGTACATTTCAAACTGTCTGAAGAATTATTTATCACTTAGCTTCATATGACCCTGCAGTTCTTTGACTATTGAGTATTCATTGGCAGTTGTATGGGGCTCACTTCTGTGAAAATAGGTGGAGTGTTAGCCAAGTAATCCTATGGCAGCAACGGCAGTGATCAAATGCTACCATAGGTGTCTGCTCATGGTTGCACCTTCCATGGTTTCGTCAGTTTTGTAAGAGATTTATCTAAATACTGTACTAACTGAACTAATCCTAAATTTAGCAGTTTCTTCCTGTCCAGTGCCAGTCATTTCCAGTGCCATTATCTATATTTTTCCTGTCCATATTACATAGTCTGAAATCTGATGACAAGAATTGAAGCAATCATCCTACTTATTCACAACAGTCACTGGACTTTATTTTCCTTGACCTGAATCATGGGGACCTACTTGTCTTTTTGCCAAACTAATCTTGCATGTTGATGTGGTTTTCCCAGACGTGAAATCTTCTAAGTTGGTTTTCATCTGCACAGCTAATTGCGAGAGGCAGCCTAACTATTCCACTGGGAAATTCCTTTTTTTTTTTTGCAGGAAATAAATATGGGAAAACAGTGTTTCCCACACTTTCTTCCTGTGTTAGTGTTTTCCTGTAGAAAGAAGCACTTAAGAAAAATCTAAGCATGTAGGAAAATAAGAAAAGTGCCTCTTTTTAACTTCTCAATTTTAGCATTAATAACTTAAGTGTCACTGTCTCTCTAAAGTGTTACTCTGAAAAAATGTATTTCTTTTCAACTGTTTCTTTCAGAAATGGTAACGCTGGCATACAGTCAGGTAATGGGGAAAAGTAAATTGCATGTACATGCTTTGAACATTTTCCTTTTTATTCTCTATTAAAATATGGGAAAGCATGGAGAAGAAGGAAGATAAGAATCTAAGAATTTCACATTTAACTTTTTTTTCTTTTCATTTTATTTCTTTATTTACAGAACTTCTCAAAGAAGTCTAAGTACAGTAATTAATAAAAAGAAATTAACACATAACCACTTTTTCATTTTCTAAATTTGTACATGAAAAGCATTGCTTTTAACTAGTCTGTTTTACCTGTTGAAAATTTTCTTTTTCATTAGAAATCTATGAGTATGCCTATTAATTGCCTCATTTTTACATGCTAAATTTCTTCTTCCAGCATAATTGAAGTGAATTATAGTTTATATGAAGTCATGTCACCATCCACCTTCACACTTGGTGTATGTCACCCTTCAAAAATCTCTGTCTGAAAACCTGCAAAGATTTAATTTCATAACTTTAAGCAGCATGGTAGGCCCAATGGCTTAATAAGATTATACAGATGTTTAAAACTAATCATATCCTTCGCATCAACTGAACCTGCATTTTGGTGAGTGTTCTACTTTTGGATGAAACAATGTCACCTTGAAATTGACAGGGCCTAGAGAGGTTTGAATTTATGAGGAAAGATGTCCATCACTTCTGAAAATCAGGTATATCTAATTGCCTCAGATTAAACAGCAGAGGCACCAGTCAACTCTAAAAATAATCAGAGCAGCACAGTTCTAGTGCTCAGTTTCATAGACTATGATTTTCCTCCACTTTAAAGAGTGTTTATTGTTTCTATTTTGATGACTTCTCTAGTTATTAAGTCTGGACGAGAGATTTCCCTTCACCATTGGTTATTTGTTTTCTGTCCTAGTCTCATGTGGATGGGATTCATCTAAAACTTTTCGAAATCAGAGAAAATTGTGTTCAGTGCCCACTTAGCATCCTTTATTTTATTTGATTTTATTTATTATGCTTTTCAAAGTAGCCAAACAGTTATGAGAAGATCCATTTTTCTCATACATGGCTGTACTGGTTTGACCCTATCCAGTTTTATTTATCAAATGGTGTTATTCTGTATTCTATTCAGTTGAATTCCCTGGATCTCAGTTGCCTTCTTCCATAGTTCTCAGTTTCCTTGTTGTCTTATATTTTCCTTGAAGCATGATATTAACTGTTTTCCAGTCTTCAAGAACTGTTGCTTTCTTGAAGGAATTATTATGTATTCTTGTTAAGAGTTATTCGGGCTGAAGATATTATGTGATGCCTTTGGAGTTGCCAGTGGAATTTCCTCCACTTTGGGAGATTTACTTCATATGACTTACTTAACTTCATATTATCCTTCTCCCTGTGAGAGTTCTTTCTCT